GTGATTTGCAGTTAAATTGGGTTGTGTAGTGAAGAAAACTGCTGGATATCAGCTTTATTTGTTCCAAAAGAGAGAGTGATCTTAGTCACAGAAAGCATTGAATACTGCAGGAGATGAATTAATTTTGTGTTGCTAATCAAATAATTTAATCAGAAGTTTCACTGATGCTGTTGCATCATTTAGTTCTTACGCTAGTCCGAAGTTAATTCTTGGGAGCATACCTTTGTCTTAAAGGTAAGTTTGTTCTGAATGTGAGAATTACTATATAACACAAAGTTGTACCTAATAGCTTCATTGAATGTACTGTTTTGTCTTTGTGACCCTTCAGTCTAATTGCTTTGTGTCACAGCTTTTTCTTTCTAAATTGATACCACATCCTCTCACAGATGTTGTGAATGTGGATTAGTGTTTCTTCAGCCTGCAGAAACTACAGCAATTCTTGGATAAATTCTTCTTGAAATTTTCTCTCTTTAGAACTAAATTTGAATAGTATTCAATGAACAAAGAGGAGAAAACAAAATTGTGCTTACTTGGTGAGCACTTTTGGTGCTCTTCAATGTATACCTTGAGTACTGAATTAGGCTCCACATGGCAAGAACAATAATTATATGCTTGGGCATTACCGATAGTCACTACCTTTATGTATGACTAAGCTATTTTGAGTGCTTATCTATAAGGTTAGTATTTTAAGAAGTATATGTGCAACTTCTTTCTAAAGCGTGAGCCTGGGGGGGAAAAAAGCATGGCACTAGCATCACAAACCTGTTTTAACAGACTTCAACAGCAAAATGGAGATATTTAGCTCCACTACACAGACCTGTTCTTGAGTTAATCCCTGTCAGATACTCCATCATCCTTCTGTGCTTGTTGCTGAAAATTATGAGGAAATGGAACATTCTGTTTCAAAACTTTGCCAGCAGTGAAGGGGTGTTGAAATGTGTGTTCTTTGCTGCTGTCTGCAGCCAAGAACACTTGCATGGACAAAGACTCCTGAGCCTGCCTGTTTGCTCCAAGCCTGACTCTAGCCCACTCTTCCCTCTCTTCTACCCTGGCACCTCATTCATTTCTGCAGTCTCTGTGTGTTGTTTTCAGGCTACTTACCTTAGTGCCAGCTGTAGGGAAGGAAGTGTGCTCATGTGCTTTGTGAAAATAGTGTGTCTGCAGCTGAGGCAGTACTTTTAGCTGGAAGAGAATTAAAGGGATGGAGTTTTAAGCGAGTTTTATCTGCTGAAATCACTCAAGTGTTTTTTTGAAATGGCAAAATGGGAGAGTTCAGTCGCTAGTTAAACCTCATGATGCCATGAGCAAATGAAAGCTGATAAGGAAAAGTTGGCTAGTAGTACTGCATCTAGAACTTCAGTAAAAGGACAGTATGTATTACACTTTCATTGTACAGTATTATTACATAAATAGCTTTCCACCCAAAACTCTAGCACCAGACATTTATTGGGGCGTGATACTGTATGTGAATTTCACGTAAGGTTAAAATGGGAAAACTTTCAAATGCTGTACTGACTCATAAATTTTGTAGGTATCCTGTGTATGCACAACTCAATGTAGCACACTGTTTCTTAAAAAGGAATAAATAAATACCAGGTCTTCTGTTCATCTGAAGCTGATTTCTCACCTTTTACCTCTAACGTATATGGTTTTTTAATGCAAGTAGCAAGAAGCTACGCTATGTGAAGCCATGATCTGAAATAGGCACTATACTTTGTCATATTTCTGTTGGCACTGTTTAACTTGCTCTGTCTTTTGTTTCAGGTTTGTAACAGCGTGTTTAACAGCTGGGATCAATTCAAAGATCACTTGGTAATACACACCGGTGACAAGCCCAACCACTGTACCTTATGTGATTTGTGGTTTATGCAAGGCAGTGAGCTGAGAAGACATCTCAAAGAAATGCACAATATTTCAGAACGAATAGTAACAGAAGAGGTTCTTCCAGTGGAAGCTGTGGAAGCTGAACCAGTAACATCAATGACTATAATAGAACAAGTGGAGCAAGTCCATGTCCTACCAGTAATTCAGGTACAAGTGGATCCTGCACAGGTAACTGTGGAACAGATGCACCAGGATCTCATACAGGACAATCAAGTGAAAGGCACACAGATAGATGAACTGCAGGAACAGGTGCAAATTAGTTACTTGGAAGTTGAACACATTCAGACTGAACAAGGTGCTGAAGTTCATGTGGAGCAGTTACATGTTGAGCACGTAAATCAAATACAGATGGAAGAAGTACAGGCAGAACTTATAGATGGAACAGACCTTGAACAAGTAGAATATGAAAGTGTTGATCAAGGAGAAGCAGAAGAAAAGGAACCTAATCAAGTAGATGATGCAGATAAGGAAGATCATGAACAAGCTGAAGACTTAAAAAATCAACAGTTAGTGGACACGCAGAATGAAAAGGTGGATGACTAGGACAAATCACCACACTGTGCAGGTTTAGGAATGAAATACCAAATTATTTTTGTTAACTTTTACATTGGTTTTGGAACTGTCAGTGGTTTCCAATATGCTGTCCTTAGGAAGCTGGGCAAGTGGACCAAAATTAGCTTTCTTCATGTACGACTAAACTTCTCTCGTGTGAAAAATAACTTTCCCATTCATGTAGTACCATGAAACAGAAACAACCACAGACATGGACAGCTTTGTGAGGATTTTAATAATGAATAGCTTGTATCGTTGTTACACCATCCCTGGTTATATGTAAGAGTAACTTCACCTCTTTTCCTCTTGCAATAGAAGCAAACTCTTGTTACAGATTTGCAGGGTGTCTGTGGCAGAAGAATCAGTAAAATCTGGTGGGTTCTAATGTAAGTGGCAATTGGGTACCTGTGAATTTTCGGATCAGACTGTTTGCTGTATCCTAACAGCGGTCCCTAACTTTCAGGCTGGGGAAAAACTATTGTTGCTGGAGGTCTCTGAGCACAAAAATCCTGTGCCTTTTCAACACTGACTGGTTAAATTTCCACAAAGTTCCTAGAGTGTTCAAGAACCTAGTTCAGTAAAAGGCAATGTAGGTAATGTTATAGCGCTTTATATTTTTGCTTAAAATTGTCAGCTACTGGTTTGTTTTTTTTTTTTTGTATTAAATTTAGAGGCGGGGGGCTGAGGGAGAAAACAGATTCCACATGGAGACAGCAGGACACTCTAAAAGGGACACTTTAAAATAGGAAAAGCGCAGTAGAATCTGTGGTAAAAATGAGCTGGAAGAAAGCTACCAGCAGACTCTTCTTTTATAAATAGTCATTTTTGAAAATGAATATGTTTAAACGTAAATATAGAGGAGACTTGTCTATATGGTATCAGGTTCCTGTTTTTTTGAAACGAAATTCTGACACTTGACACAAAGATGTGCTAAACAGAAAAATAAAAGCCATAGGTATGAGTGCTAAACTGTGGATTGAAAAGTAGGAGTGTAAATAATTTAATCAATATTAGACAATAAAACAATACCAACCATGAAATGTTGCATTATTTGTTTCATCCAATAAATTAGGAACAACTGAGTGACTGGCAATTACAGTGCCAGCTCCCAGTGGTAAGAATCCATCTCATTTTTAATAAAATTAATAGGTCTTTACTGTAAAGTTAGATTTGTTTAGAAAATAATTGTCTAGCTCTATGTTCAAGGATGCTAAGGACTTCTAATTCTCAATTATTGCCTTGAGATTAGAGGTGCTCCACACTTCTGAAAAACATTCTTTTCAAAGCCTTAACTGAAGGGAGGAATTTTTGCAAGGACGTTCCCTAATGCTTTTGGTAATCCTGTAGATCTTAGTTAAAATCAGGCTTTTTATTCAGCCTTCTCCAAATGCAGAATTATTTCCTGGGATTTGTGCTTTTGTTTAGTCTCGTTCGAAATTATTCTTGTGTTTCATCATAGCCTTTGAGAAACTGTTGCAAAACAAACATGGATCTCAATTAAAATTTTGAACAATTTGATTAATGTAACTTGCATTCTTTTTTATGATGTTTTGTGTTTTCTGAGATGCAAGTAATATGTGATGAGATTCTGTGCAGAGGGAAGAATGTGGCCCAATGTTAATCATGAAAGTAAAAGTTGGTGTCGTGGTTTAACCCCAGCTGGCAACTCAGCACCACACAGCCGCTCGCTCACTCCCCCCCACCCGGGTGGG